GGGTGAGTAGGATTTTTTTTGGTGTGTTTGACTTTTCAGTATAGAAGTGGATTAGTTGAAATTCTTGAAAGAGACCATGAGTTTTTTTTAATACTCATTTGAATTGGTTCTCAACAAGCATTTACAGAAAGTCATTTTGATCATCCCAATTTATTTGATGGGATATGGGGGTGGTTTGTTTTCCAAAATGGTTCTTCAATATTTGAGATGTACTTAAACCATTTTTGGAAATGGAAGAAGATGGTGTTTCCTAGTCACAAGGTTTATTTTGGGAATGGTTTTCAAGAGTAAAGAGTAATGTAATAAATCTAAAAAAATGATAGTTTTTTTTTGTGAATAATCAAAACTTTCTCAACCAAATACCCATTAAAAAAAGAATTATCACAACTTTTACCTTCCTAAAAAAACTTAATTTATACACAAAATTTGTTGAACTAACCATGAGATGCACCCCCCCCCCCCCCCCCACTTGAGATACATTGTCCTCAATGTAGGTTGGAGAACGTAATGAAAGATGAAATCCTCGATAGTGGAACGAGGTGTTCTTGAGAGTAGGAAATCCATGATACCTCAGCTGAGATGATGATTTTTTTTATTTTTATTTTTATTTTTTTTGTTGGGTTGCCTCCCAATTAGCGCTTAGTTTAACGTCATAGGCCAGACAAACATACCTCTTTTGTGCAGCTGAATTCCCGGAGGTGTTTAGCTAGTAGGACCTCTCTTTTAAAATCTTGCGGGGGAGGAGAGGATATTGAGCTATTATTTTCAATATTGAGAAGAATATCACCTGGGTCAAAAATGTACCTTTTTGGTGTATCATGATTATGTCTTCCTTTCTTGTTGGCGTATCCTTCTTGAATGGAAAAGAGGTCTCTTCTACCATTTGGAGGCGTGAATACATTGGCTTCCGCCGTCTACAAATTTTCTAGAGTGGGTTGTACTCTCCACACATGAAATATGTCATCTTTATCTCCCACAAATAGCTTTCTAGTTGCGTCGTGTACATCAATCATGTCTGGGGTCTTCTTGCTCTCTGGAGCGTTGGGATTCTCCTTTCCTCTTCTGCTTTCTGTTGTGATGACCATGGCACTTCCTGCTATAGTAACTTGTTGAGCAAGTTGGTTAATTTGCAATTGTAGAGTGTGGAAGGAACTTTTGGTATCTCGCTCGAGGTTGTCCATCCTTTGATTAAGAATCGTGTTTTGATCTTCAATTCGGATGTCAAGTTTGGTAAATTGAGAATGGAGATTCTCAATGGATGCCTCCATTCTACTATAATGTCTTTCATTTTCAGCTTGAATACTTGTGGTAAGAAACTTCATCATCTCCTCCAAGGTGGATTGAGAGTTTGAAGAACTCTCATGTGGTTTCCAACTGTTGTATTGGTTTCCCCTTTGTTGATGAGAAGAGTTGTAGTAGTTATTACCTCCATGATTCCCCCACTCCTCATAGAAGTTCATGTAATTGATCTCCTCAGTTTGAATAGCATACTTTCGTGTACGAAGAGTGTTCCCTAAGTTGGTTTGTAGGATTTCCTTTAGTGTTCGTTCCAACTCCAAAAATCTTTTATCAAGCACATCACCGATAGATATTTCCTTCACTCCAGAGAACTTTATGTTTGTAGCTTGAAAATGCAGGTTGTAGGCAATAATGGGCATCTTGACCTCATTTAGTGTAGGATTTTTTATTTTAATTTTTTTGCTGTGTTTGTAGTCTTTTGACTTCGGGACCGAATTACTTAGATCCTTGAACTTTTATGAGTATGACCACACATGTTGGTTAAAAAAAATAAACTAACACTACTATATGAACAAGTGAAAAGCAATGCGAAATGAAAAAAAATAGGTTTTTGTTTTCTTTGATTTTTTTGGACTTTATTAAACAAGACCGTTTCCCCGGCAACGGCGCCAAAAACTTGACCGGGCTAAACTTGCAAGTGTACAAGTGCCAATATAGTAATAAATTCTGGTAAAATACCGGGTCGAATCCACAAGGAAACGTTGTTTAATTCAAGTCCGAGAGTAGATAACTTTAAATGAAGAAATGAGAAAAGTGCAGGGATTTTGATTTGTGTTTGATATTTTTGGCTTTTCACTTTTTGTTTAATAAGATAATGGTTTAACTAATTTTAAATTTAAGATGAATGATAATAACAACTGAGGCTTCGGGAATCACTTAAATGCTTTAATAGGGTTGAATATTAGTTCTTGGCCAATAATTATGAATATGATGTCGCTAATATATTCTCAACTCCGGTTAAGGCAGCGAGAGCGTGGTTTTCGTTACGTGTAAGTCCCGTTACGGCTTACATTCATCTACCGAAAACCCTGTTGAATATCAAGACATCACACCCGTATCATATAAGACCGGATATATTTCTATTCTCGGTACTGTGTATATTTATCCTTTAATGTTCATAGTTTAGACTTCAACGTTAATTGCAAGTATAAACTAAACTTAACATACTTCTATGTTGTACACCATAGTCATAAACAATCAATATATAAAGGATAAATCACAATTCATTGGTTTAGAACTTTTATCAAATACCTAGTGGGCATAGAATTGAAGTTCATTCCTAGCCTTAGCTAAGAATTTAGCTACTAATGCTCATATTAATTACAAAAGTGTAACTAAGAACAAGAAAATATAATTGTTGGAAAAATATGTTAAAATTGCACATTAAATGGTCATTTTGGGGAAATTATTTGAGTGGGGTCCACTTCCGATTTGGGTCGGGTCAAAGTGGTTTCGGATTGTCCTTGTTAAGGGCTACAATTCGATGTGTGGTACACTCAAAACGGATAACAGGTGAATGAGAAATTTATTCACGAAGTTCACTCGTTGAAATGGGAAAACTGGGAAAATGATGGGTTTCTAGTGTGTTTTATACCACACCGGAAAACTCAAGGGATTCCTAAAGGTAAAGGCTCTCTCTTACGCGCAGGGGGGGTGCCGATCAAATCCCGAAACGGAGAAGAAAAACCGCGACTCGTGTGTGCGGGCGGCCTGCGGACACGAATGTCGTCCGAAAAATCTATCATTCAAAGATACGATTTAACTTAGAGGCCACCGGACAGAAGACCTTAGAGGTATTCTGTTGCCTTCCGGAACAGAATACCTAAGACGTTGTTACCAAAGTTAATGACCAACGTTCTTATCTTTAAATGGACAGTTTTTCAACATATTAATGTCCAACGTGCTGGCCATTTATGTGCATCGTTCAGGTCCATTACAGCTCGATTAACACACCACAAATCCTCCTATAAATGGCTAGAGGTGGTTTGCAACAACACAACACACAAAGCACTCCTCACGTATTTTTGAGTTCTAAAACACTTCCAGCTACTCAGAAAATTCCTAAGTGTTCATACTGTGTTCCAGTTCCCCGGAACTCTCGTTTGTGTGCTCAAACGTTAGTTCGTTAGCCACCGTATCCTGGGAAACGGTCGTTGCAACGCTCCTAGCACCGTGGGAGGCGACCAATACGTTTTAAGGACATCGTGCGTAGCACGAGCTTTGGCTAAATTCTGTTCCATCTATTTTCTGTTTTCTTTTAGCTATTTTATTTATTAATTAATTTTATTAAATTAATATTTCTTCGTTTTTCCGAGACACACCCAACAATAATAACATACAAGACAAATTACCTAGAACCAATTGTAGAGGAGAAAAATAGCTCCTTCTCAAAAGAACTTGAAGAACAATAGCAAGAACAAATATAAAAACTAGGAATTAATCTATGGAATGGAATGATGATCTTTATTGATGAATTGAGGGCTTTATATAGACTAAAGATTAGCATCTTTTAGTCTATTCAAGCTCAACAATTAGGCATGGAAGATATATTTGATCAAATCATGAGGAAGGTGAGAGTTTCCCGTCAAAATATTGCTGCATGTCTCCCTGTTTTGTGCAGAATCGGACCTAACCAGCGCCGGTTTTAGGCCTGACCGGTGCCGGTCTTATTTCGGTGCTGGGAAAATACGAAAAAGTACCATAACCGGCGAATCCAAAAATAACAAATTAAATCAAACCGGCGCCGGTTTTGTGAAATTCCGACGCCGGTTTTGCCCTGGAATTTTGGGGATGTTCCGCTACGAATTTGGACATGATTTCTTCAGCAAAGTTGTAGATAATGAAGTCTTCTATCCACCAAAACTTGAATAAAGTGATTTTATTCATCTAATCAAAGGATATGGATAAAATATTGAGAGGTATGCATCCTGAATATCCACCAGCAACTTCTGACTTTATTGGTTGATTGGGTCTTGATGCTTTCATATTCTGGCCATGACGTCTTCATAACATTTGTACTTTATCGAGTTAACATTGACATGAAATTTGAATCGAGTGATTTCGAGTTCTCTACAATAAGTTATACTCAAATTATGGGTAGAACATCATCCTCTTGGTCCAAAAAGCTCTTCATCACAATGTTTTATGCTCTAGCTCTCATTCTGAAGGTATTTACCCAATTTATCTTCCTTTCTTCAACAAATACTTATAAATACTTATGTTAAACACGTACAAGTAAATATAATGGCTATCAATTCTCCCTATCGATAATTAATTCAATTTTTAATAATTAAAATTGGGTTATTTAGAGTTTGCACCCTGTTTTATACTCCTAATTAGCCTATGCACCCTAATTTTAAAATCCTTTGCCTTTCCACCCTAAGTTAAATGGGTCTGTTAGTTAGACTCCTAAAAAAAACTAAATGGCATTAATACCCTCCTGGCAGATTCACAGAACAGAACCCAGATACACATGGTTTTCCCAGTTAGCTCCCAGAACACAATAACACAATTCTCAGAACACAAAGCTGAGAACAAAAACCAGACCTTCTCACCATCCTCACCTCTATTCTCACCAAAACTGAAAAAACAGAATATTTTTCTTTTTGGTAACATACAAAACATATTAAAAATAGCTTATCTGCAAATTTTTTTCTTTTTCAAGACAGCTCTTGAAAAAACAGACTATACATAAAGAAAAAATATAAGAACCTAATTAAAAACTAAGAAAGAAAAAACAGAGCAAAAATTTGGTGTAGTGGTCCTATAATGTTGTTGAATAGTTACTAGTCAAAGTTTAATAAATATATACATCCAACAACCATAAATGAGTCATAAATGCTCATCCAACAATATGTAACCACCCATCCACATTACTCCCTATAAAAGCTTGTAATGTGAGGAGTAAATATGTATGTATTGGATCAAAATAATCGTATGGCTGCACATGAAGGAGGAACAAGGTTGTATAAGGTATGACTTTTGTTAAATTAATTTGTTCTTGCAAAAAAGTATAACATATTCTCTATTGTTTAGTGTTTTCATTGTGGAGAACAAGGTCATTGGGCGAAGGCATGCACCTATAAACACATACCTTGTACAGAGGGCTGCCCAAACAACATGGAGTTGTACACATCTCAACAATCAAGAAGTTATGGATGCAGATTCCTAAGATGCAAAGGTCAGCCCCAATGTCAAGCATTCAAATGGGTTGATTCACCAAAACATAAAGAAGTAGCAACATATGTACCAAACAAGGAAACATCATCCACAAGTGAAGCAACAACAAGCATTCCTATGCAAAGCCATAGTGTTAAAGTGACTGTAGAACAGGATGGGGGGAAAGTAACATACGAAGGCCAAGTATGTGATGTAATTCAGCTTATGAGTAAAAAACTCATTATATAATAATGTAGTGTTGTTCTACATACCTTTCATATTACATTGAGCAAAAAACTGCAAGTGCAATGTGTTAATACTTTGTTGTTATCTAATTCTAGCATATATAGTTAGCTCTAGTACTTATACAAAAATTGAGCTTCATGTCTAGAATTTACAAGCACAAAATAAAACATTTAGAGCACATATATTGCATCTGTGCAGTGAGCAAAATGAGTTTTACCAACAACTAGTTGTGTAAAACACTAGTTGTGTGAACAACTCTGCCAAAACATATATATAATACTTACTTACTGGTGGTAGGCAGTAGTACTTCCACCAGCTCTTCTACCCCCTCTACCACCAGTACCTGCACCACCTCTTGCTCCAAGCCTAGCACCAGCCCTTGAACCACCCCTTGCAGCACCCCTTGCAGCACCCCTTGAACCACCCCTATCTGCAGCCCTTGAACCACCCCTTGAACCAGCCCTTGAACCACCAGTAGCACCTCTCCCACCACCTCTAGCAACGGGCCTTCCTTGACATGACCTCTTGTTGTGCCCAAAAGATAGACACTTGGTGCACTTCTTCTGACTGCTGGATTGAGTCTCAGTTTCATCATGCCCCTTTATTCTAGTGTTTTTAGGCCTCCCGGGGGCTCTTGAAAGCTTAGGTGGCAATAGAAATTCATTCCCCTGCATAATTTTCAAAAATTGGTTAGCATTTGTGCATAATGTCTCTGGAATTGGTTTTACAGTATATATTGGAATTTGATTAAAATTTACAAATTCAGAAACTACAAATTAGAATTTGATTAACCCTATATATTAAAATTTACAAATTCAGAAACTACATTAAATTCTTTCAAAGTTGTAAACTCCAAATTAGAATTTGATTAAAAATTGACATCCTAATTAAGCGAATAAAATCAAACTGTTTGACCGAGAAAAGTAAAATGTGCAATTCAATTTGGGACGGAGATAGTATTAAACTTAATTCATTTACAGTAACAGTATTGGACTTTAATTCCCCCTATTGCGAGAAGAGGCTGAAGGGATATTTATTATGGAGTACAATACGTAAAAGAATGTGGAATCATACCTTAGCTTACATGCTGTAGTTTTGAAAATCCAGTCAACACAAAGTGGAGCCCACCTTTTTCGTGCAATCCTGGCCTTTCCATGCATGAGAAATGTGCCCTTTTATAAGTTGCGCATTCACCGTAATATGTACTTATATGCTTGATTGAGAATTGAGAGGTAGAGAGGCCAACGTATAAATTCATTATTTTGGTATGATTAAAATGGATTTTTTATCCTTTCACTTATAAAGTTGATTTTATTTTTATAACAAAAATTTACACGAAAATAAAACTAAGAAAACAATTCTTTGTTAAGCATTCACATAAAAAAATTTGTTATTGGCCAAGTAAAATTCACACGAGCTAACTATATTATAATTAAAGATTTAAACTGGCAAAAACCTTATTTTAAAAGTGATTAATAAATAATAATAATAATAATAATAATAATAATAATAATAATAATAATAATACGTATTAATGTTTATAACTATTGTAGATGACTATATATGATGGTATTGTCTTTTCAAGACGTTTATGTTATTTGAATAATAAATGCACAAAATGCAAAATGTACTGTAGGCAATACTACATTTGAAATTTTACACACTTATAGACAACCTCATCAATTATGTCACTTGTATGTAAATAAAACCTTGTTTTGTTCACGTAACTTTAAGCTATAAAGGCTATTATACTATATATATATTCATATTCCTATTCATATTTATATTCATATTCACAATCATATATATACATATTCATATTTAATTTTTTTTAAACCCGGTAGACAAACCACCAAAATCAGTGGAGTAAATGTCGAGGAATATTTATCAGATTTTATAAGAAAATGGAAAGAGAACAATCCTAGAAGGGGACCAAAACCAAAACCTCTCTGGAGGCATACCTCCAAAAATACAACGAAACGGCACAATAACTTTACAATAAATTCGAGGGGGCTATACCTGACCCGAAAATATAAAAATAAACGAAACAAAAATCATAATGAAGGAATGCCAAAATAGTCCATTTAAACTTATATACGTATTTATATTTATATTTACATACATACTATTCCTTGGAGTTTTTGTGGAGGGAAGATCACCCCCTTAAGCACATGTGTAGGTATTTTTTTGAATTTTGTATTCTTTAATTTAAATATCGTATTGCTATTAATATGAATGTTATAGCCCACTTTTGATGTTATGTTTTAGGGTGAACGTCTATGTCCGGTAGGTTTGATAAAAGTTATATGTCAATATTTATGATTTATTCTTTACTTTTGTATTTTTTATGCATATATTGTACAACATACTACGTATGTTAAATTTACTTTAACTTGCAATTAGTTCAATTAGTTGTTTTATAGTGTTCAATCATGTTTAATATATGAGGTGTAACTAGCCTCACACATAGTTGTTTTATAGTGTTCTATCATGTTTTGTTTATTTGTATTCATGTTGTAATTAGTTTGATTAATAGACAATGGGTCACCTTATCTTAGGGGCCATATGTCTCACTTATAGACTCGTTATTGTAACACGCCTATCCCTCACTACAAAAAAACACGCCGTTTGTCACGGATTTTGTCACGGACGGTAGTTCAAAAAATCCGTGATAAATGATTTTTTGTCACGGATTTGTCACGGAAAAAATCCGTGACACCAGGGGCGTGATAACGTTTTTGTCACGAAAATTAATCCGTGAGACTGTTTGTCACGGCCACCGTCCGTGACAAAACACTTCACCGGAACCTCATCGCCTTTCATTTGTCACGGCCGCATCCGTGAATAAATTTTTTTATTTTTCAAAAAAAAAATTATTATTTGTCACGGAAATTTCCGTGACAAATTTAAAAAAAGGTTTTTCGAAATAGAGTGGGCGGGTATTTGAAACGATCCGGAAAATTCAAATTTTAAATTTTGTCACGGAAATATCCGTGACAAAACATTTTGAAAAAAATTTGAAAATTTTAAAATAAAGTTTTAAAATTTGAAAACTTTAAAATTTTCAAAAAAATTCAAAATTTTGAATTTGTCACGGATCCCATCCATGACAAAACATTTTTTTAAAAAAATACGTTATTTTAAGCGTTTTATGTATTTAGAATAAAATGAATTTATATTTTGTCACGGAACAGTCCGTGACAAAAGTTTAAATTTTTTTTAAAAAAACATTAAAAATTCAGCGCATTAAATTTTTGAATGTTTATTTCAAAAGTTTATTTAATAAATAATAACCATTAAAATTTAGGCGCTTTTTCAAAAATTTAAACTTAATAAACATTGTTTTTAATAAATAGTTAAACAATCATCATCATTAATCTTAATAAATAATTGTTTATAATAAATAATTAAACAATCATCATTAATCATCATTAATCACCATTAAACATTAGGTATCATAATAAATAATAATCTAATCAAACCATTATTATATAACACAAATAATTAATATTCATACATTAACACATCAAAATTTAAAAATCCTTAAAATGTCAATAAACTAATTATTACAAATCATCAATGGTCATCATAATCAGCATCATCATCATCAGGTTCGTTACGATGATCGGGTTGCCTTCCGTGGCCACGGCTGCCACCACGATGGCTGCCTCTCCTGCCTCTGCGGCTGCCAGCACGGCTGCTGCCACGGTAAGCTTGAGCTCCGGGAGTCGGGATATCATCATAATATCCATATGGAAAGTTGTTGGAGATATGGCTATAATTAGCAAAACCCATATTGCCCATACTGCTCATATTGCCCATATAGCTCGCGAAGGGAACTTGTGGGGTCATCTCGGGGTGCTGTATGTGCATGGATGGACGGTAGGTGGCGTTGAAAATACGCATTTGGCATTCCACCTCTTCCAACCTTTCTCTTGTTCTTCTTTGCTCTTCATCCCGTATCCGAGCTTCTTCATCCCGCCTTCGAGCCTCGGCTTCACGTTCCTCCAATAGTTTCTCGAGGCGGGTAACCCGATCATCATATGCCGAATGAGAAGATGAGCTAGCTCCTTTGGCCTTCTCTAGGATCCGTACGCCTTCAGAACCCATAAGCGGCACCCGGCCCTTGTAAACTCCGGTTGCCGCCAAGATGGCCTCATTATCTTGAATTTCATCAAGTTCGTCATCAGAATCAGCTAGCTCATCAACTCTCTTCCCCCTCTCTTCCGCATATTTTTTCTACAAGTTCAAAATTTTATTATATAAGAGATCAAAAAAAATCGAAATTTATTGAATTATGTTTCATTATTTACTTCAATTTCAGAAAGGCGGGGAGGCGGCATGGCACCCTTCTTCGTCCAGCAATGTGCCATGAGTTTCAATGGCGTGACCCGTTTTTTCACGGGTCCAGATCCTTCCTACACGGATTTCAAAGTTAATAAAAAAATATATACATAAAGGTATGGAATGGAAATAATTTTAACTAATTAGAGTTTACCAGATCTTTTTTATGTTAAATTTGGGGTTTGCGGCCCCCGTGCCATTGAACTTCCTTGGCTTTCTCGGAGTTCCGGTTTGCCTTGGCCGTTTCGCTTCTCAGCAAAAATGAGGCATTCGTAGCCCAGTGGCGGCAAAGCATCTCCCACACATCATCGCCAAGGAAGTTTGGCTTTTTACCCGTAGACCGGGCGGTCCTAAAAGTGGGTCTCAACCACCCAGAAATCCTAGAATTGTATTCTTTGAGAATAGCTTGGTCTAGGGCAAAATGCCACCGATGGGAAGCCTTCATTAAAAACATTGATATATCATTTCTTAAATTTAAGTTATTAAAATGTAACAAAAAATTTTATTTTTACCTTGAACAACCGCCACCATAGTTCACGAGTGGCCGCCAGAACCTCACCATAAGTCGACCAAGGCCCGGTGAAATGACCACAAACAATAGACTTGATTCTATTCAAGACCTCGGAATCCCTTCAAAAAATTGATAATTGATAAAAACAATTGTATTAATTCTTAGATGTAGAGATTATACGATTTTATATTAGAGAGTGTTAGATTTTATTACCTATGGATTGATTGAGGTGTCACCTCAAGCGAACCGGGATT